CTTTTTTCATGATAGGACTCGTGCGCAGCTGCGTGAAGCTGACACCCCACCCACGTCAAAAAACTCTGCAAATAGACTGAATGGTTAGTGCAACGTTAGTGCAGATTTGTGCAGAAAAAAATATTGTTTGTGCTACTTTTGTTTAAGAGATATTAAAGATTTATTTTAGGTCATCCAGAGGTGCGCGCCTTGTCATGAGAGAGGGGAGGATGAGAATCCGTCTGTCAGTTGAATAGGTTGGTGTTTCTGCTGGTGGGTGTTAACGTACAGCACACACAGAGAGATGGAGAGTGATGATGACTCCAGCAGCAAAACAGCGTTTTCCACATGGAAATACCGTAGAGCTGCGTTTCCCCATCACATAACGGTTTCCTCTGCATCTCCACACAGCGCAGGCGGCAAGAGTCACCGCGCAAGCGACATGAAACGCGCATGCTCGCTAAAGGCGCGCAACAGTCGCTCTGTGCTCGCGCCACAGGAGAACTGTGGAGAGCGGGAACGATCAAATGAACCTGACAACAGCCAGAAATGATAGCCTATATGGAGAAAGGGAGAAATCTGGATGGATGGATGGATGGATGGATGGATGGATGGATGGATGGATGGATGGATGGATGGATGGATGGATGGATGGATACTCTGCCTTCTCAACCTACTGTATTTTTTATTTTAAACATTATTTGATGGCCTTTGTGGCAGGGATGGAGATCCATATTTTATGTCACACACAGAGTATACATCTAGATAGATAGATGGATAGATAGATGTTGCAGTATCTATAACAACCCAAACACACAGGATTTCAGAATTAGACATCCCCAGTTATTAATTTCATATACTCACCGGATCTGAATGTCCTGTTATAAAACTTTACATCGCGTTCCCCCCTGATGTCATTTACGTTGAGTTGCAATAAATGCTTAACTCTCTGCAGGTTCTTGTCTTTGTCGTCCGCTCTATTCAGCTGGCTTTGGAAACACACGGTGAGAAGGTGGGGGCTGGGTGGTGAGGTTTACGGGGGCGAGAAACGCAAAAGTAACGCAATAGTTACTTTTACTAGTAACTAGTTACTTTTATTGTGGAGTAACTCAGTTAGTAACTCAGTTACTTTTTGGGAGAAGTAACTAGTAACTATAACTAATTACTTTTTCAAAGTAACGTGCCCAACACTGGAAAACACAATGCAAATTCTAAAGCCACAAAGTGCTGCACTGCTTTCATTTGAACCACACCTGTATCTCTTTGGCCATCTAAAAAAAAGTTGTTCAGTGATGTTGTTTAAAACATTTATAGCAGCTTGAAACACCTTTATCTATATTAGTGAAAACCTCACCCACTGCCTTTTGCCCCTGGGATCTCTAAAGTTTATTGATTTTACCATGAAGTGAAGAAATATTATGTGTAATAAATTAATTTTTATCAAGAATAGACCCTATGATTTCTCTTTCAAATCAAATTTATTTGTATAGCCCTTTACAATAGCCAAATGGTACCCAAAGTGCTTTACAACAAAGCCACAAAAACAATACATAACACATATAAAACATACAAGATACAATTAAAAGCGCTGTAGTGGTGCAGTGCTGCAGGACATTAAAAGCCTTCCAGAGGTGCATAGAAAGGAGCACACAGAAAGATGACATCTAAGAGACAGTATTACCCTAGTCAGAATTAAAAGCTAATTTTAAAAAGTGGGTTTTAAGCTTTTTTAAAAAAAAGGCTGAGGTCAGTAGTGGTGCGGATGTCAGGGGGGAGTTTGTTCCACAGTCTGGGAGCAGCGACGGCAAAAGAACGATCGCCCCTCTGTTTGAGTCTTGACCTAGGGACCTCTAGCAGAAGCTGACCTGAGGAGCGTAAAGCTCTGCCACAATTGCGGAAAGTTATAATCTCAGACAAGTAAGAGGGGGCAAAACCATGAATGGCGTTAAAAACAAACAGCAGAAGTTTAAAATCAATTCTAAAACGGACTGGAAGCCAATGGAGTGACGAAAGCACAGGAGTAATGTGTTCACGTCTGGATGTGTTTGTTAAAAATCGGGCAGCAGCATTCTGCACAAGTTGGAGACGAGAAATTGTTGACTGACTGAAGCCAACGTAAAGGGCAATGCAGTAGTCCAGTCTTGAACTAATAAAAGCATGGATTGCCTTCTCAAGATCCTGCCGACTGAGAAAGGACTTGACTTTGGCCAAAGGACAGAGCTGGAAAAAGCATGAGTTGACAACGGAGCTAATCTGTTTGTCAAATTTGAGCCCATTATCAAATGTTAGCCCGAGATTTTTGACATGACATTTAAAAAGGGGGGCTCTTTCCAATATGGAGCTTATGAGAAATTAGAATCTTTGACAAAGTTGTTAGAATGTTTGCAAAATAAAATAAAAAAAAGACTGGGATTTTTCACCCAAGGGACAAGCTAACAGCTAATTCGAGGAGGGTCAAAACCAAAAATCATTTCAGTCAACCTAAAACAGATTAAGTAATAAAATTTACAGCAATTCAAGCAATTTCTCTATAATCTGTTAACCCTAATTCAAAAGCAATGGTTAAATGAAATTTAAAAGAGGATGCGATAAAACATTTAACCTAAGAGACATATTTTTGTCTTCATAGCCTAAACCAGAAATAGAAATTAGTTAAAAATGGTCAGTGGACTTATTGTAAGCAAATATTTACTGTCTGTCATACAGATTAAGAATGAAGCAGTGAATGACCTTGTGACATCTATTGGTATTTTTATTAATTCTAACCGCTTTTGCTATCCCCAAAGGAAAAAAAAGCTTTCCTGCTTGCTGCTGCATTAAGCTTCCACTTCCATGGTTCACAATTAAAATCTTGTCAAGTTGTTCAGTTTTGATGCATTTGCCTAAAATACCTTCATTCATAAGTGCTTTAACCTTCTTCTTTAAACAAATTACTTTCATCTTGTCACTTTTCCGTGAAGTCATAGAGTATATAACTGATTCTTGTGCTAAGAACAGATTTTCTACAGTGATTGTTGATTGCTGCAGCTCTTCATCTCAATGTGCCCATCACCTGCTTCAATGATTTACTTTTTTTATGGTTTGCCATGTCTTAGTAGCTTTGCACTCACGCCAGACTCTTTCCACTTTAATTATGTATTGTATTGATGTTCAATAAGATGTTTGAAGCTTGAGATATTGCTCTATCTCTTTCATTAATAAACCTCTCTGCAATATAATCACTAAGTTCTTGCTCCTCATTATGTAGTTTACTAATGCTCTCACCTTGCTGACGCCTTTAAAGAACAGCTGTTTTTATAGTGATATTATATTGGTGACCTCTAAAGACAAGTTTAGATTAGATTAGATTAGATTAGATTAGATTCAACTTTATTGTCATTACACATGTACAGGTACAGTACAAGGCAACGAAATGCAGTTTAGGTCTAACCAGAAGTGCAATAGCAGCAAGTGCAGGATAAATAATGGTTCCATAAATACAGGACATGGGTATTTCTACTGAATGAGTATAGAGATGAATACTATTATAAATAATGAATACAATATATAGATCAGTAGTGTTATGAACTAAATTTACAGCTGGATATGTACCGAATATAATTTACAGATGAATATTACTATTAAAAAAAGGTTTTTACAGTTATGTACAATAGCATAATATACAGATGGGTTTTACTATAAAATGAATAAATAGAGTTTGGACAGAAGCATCTAAATTAAAGTGCAGTGGAAGGTAATTGCATATTACAGTTAAAGTACGTTATTGCAGATGTAAATGTAAACAATTGGTGCTGTGAATAAACAGTCGGCAGTGCAAGTCAATAATCAGTCAAAGTGAGTAGTGCAAGATGCATATAAAGAGTTGTTACAATAGTAACAGTCAGGAATGCAGATGAACTTTGTCTTTAAAAAAAACAACAACAAAAAAACAGAATAGCAAAATGGTGGTAGGTGTGAGGAAGGAGAGTAGAGTCCATCAGTGGGGTTAGAGTTCAGTAAACAGACAGCTCTGAGGGAAAATCTGTTCTTTAGTCTGTTGGTTCTGGTCCGGCCGCACCTGAAATGCCTGCCGGAGGGCAGGAGAGAAAACATTCTGTGGGCTGGGTGAGATGAGTCCTTAAGAATGCTGCAGGCTCGATGTAAGTCACTGCAATGAATTTAATACATGGAAATCACAGAATAAAAACATGCAGGCAAAACTGTGAAGTTTGTTTTAATTTTCACAAACAATTCTAAAACTATTTTGATTTTGTTTTTTTTCAAATTACCAAATAACAAAACAATAACGTTTCTACTATATCATATAAACCTTCACCTATAAGTGAAGGTCCTGCTAACTAAAAGGGACTTTACATTATTTAAGTCATGTTCGTGAATCAACAATACAATTTATATGAGATAGTAAATATATAAGTTTACTGAATAAAAGTAAAAGTTTACCATCACTTTCATTCTTGAGACCAAAGTTAATTTAGCGTTTCAATTGGCAGCTCAGATACAGACAGGGGCGGAGCTAGATGGGGGGCCAGGGGTGGCCATGGCATCCCTCAGCCAATCATTGGCCACCCCCGTGGGCCTACTATTTACCCTACTATTTATTTCCCTCTAATACAGATGGTGGCAACAGCAATACACAATGTTATCAATACTAATAATTTTTCATATATTAACAATTACTTGACGAAAAAACACTGTAATTAATTATGCACATCAATATACTAACATTAAAGATGATAAGTACATATTTCAAGCAGAAATAGATTTTGTTTTTTATGAGGAAAAGAGAAAATGATGTATCTCTGTCATCTAGGAGACTTCAGTGAAATCATAGATAAAAAAAACTATTTTAATAAAAAATTAAATAAAAAATGTATGTATGAGGAGGAAATTTTAACATCAAGATTTAATCTTTAACATTGTCATTTTATACATTAAAAGACTTTTGAAGGTGAGGTTTTCCACTTCAGGTAGATCAGTCCCACTGGTTGAGTGGGCTGCAGTTATTTCATGTGCGCATGGGCATGCCTGACAGACAAGGCTCGGGGCTAAGCACCCATGCACACTCAGCATCCTGTTTGTCTCTCCTACAGAAAGCATCAGGAATAAGCTCTGTCTACACGATACCAAGATGGTATCATCAAATATTTGGAACGCTTCCCTCAGGTAAGTCTTACTTATGTATCCTATAGGTTATTGTAATCATCGTGTATTGCAAACTTTACATCTAATTGGCACTTCCGCAATATTCTGTCAAAAGGGTACCTTGCGTAAAATATGTGTCTATAATGGGAGACATTGACTAATCGTGAGCAAAAAAAAGTGGCCTGTTTAAAATCCACTCTCTTTAGTTCTGTTATAATTATAAATAATGTATTTGCTGTCGATTGAAGTTGATCCTGATTTTTAGGAACCTATAATCTATATGTCCTCCAATAAAACGCAAAACTTCCGGAATTTAAACGTTTTATTTGAGTGATTTTGGAAAAATGGCTGTGAATTTGTTTTAATTAAAAACGTGCTGAAAAAGGCTACAGGAATCTATTTAAAAGATCAAATATAGATCGATGATAACAGATTCGGGGTTTGTGGATCAACAAGTCAGTAGCGGAACATTGGCTCTGAGCTGCGATCAACCAGCCAACCACCGCCTGGCGCTGGCCCCTATGTATGCATATGGAGAGATAATTTATGGAGAGATTTTGCACAGCTACGGCAAATGCGCAGGAAGTGTCTGCAAAATGCAGAACCACAACACTTAGATGTAGAAATATTAGCTTCACGAACAAGAGATGTAAAACTATTTATGTACAGGTGGTTTCACGTCTTTTATGCTTCATTTCTTGGACTGGAAAGCAGTAGCTACTTTTAAAAATACCCTGGATTTAAGTCTCACTGAAATATGCAGCTTAAAGAATGCAATACCACTACAAAAGCCAATAATTCAATACCAAATTCATTTGAAGTGCTGGAGTTTAGAAAATATATCTATATGTGTGTGTGTGTGTGTGTGTGTGTGTGTGTGTGTGTGTGTGTGTGTGTGTGTGTGTGTGTGTGTGTGTGTGTGTGTGTGTAAGATATTCCACACACACACACACATAAGATATTTAATTAGATAATTGTTACATTTTATAATTTAAAAGATAAATAATAATAAAATGATAACAAACCCTATCTGCAGAACAGGCCTCATTACAATCCTGTCATTAGTTTATTTTTTATTTTTTATTGAGTGCCAACAGTCCATCTATATATATACATACATATATGCACATATGCACACATATATATACATAGCCTTCCCAATTTAGAGGATTCTTCTATTACCTATTCTATTTCTATCACAGCTAATAAAGTTAAAAATGAGGTGGACAAAGGTGTTGGCACTTTTTTTTTTTTTAACTAATGACAGGATTGTAATGAGGCCTGTTCTGCAGCTAGGTTTTTTTTTAAATTGTTTTAATATTATTTATCTATTAAATAATAAAATGTAACAATTATCTAATTAAATATCTTATTTGAAGTTGTGTAAGAGTTATCTTATTTGTTTCTTTATGCCTGCTTAATAGATTTTAACTTCAGTATTATTTAAACACTAGGTAATAATCCTAAAAAGGAGCATTATCACCTTGGGTACAACGCAATCGACTTTAGAGTACTTTGATCTAGGACTGCAACTAACGCTTATTTTGCAAATCGATTAATCCTAAAAAAATTTTTGACCAATCGATTAATCATCGGTTAGCCAAAGGTTACCTAAAGAAGATTGTTTTGCGAGATTAAACCACTTGACACTAACACTGGATAGAGCATATTGACAGACAAAAAAATTTCTTAAATGCAAAATATTTATATACTTTTTTAACATCTTGGTATCATTACTGCTCTAAGTGGGTTGCTCTGTCAGCTAAAGACATGTTTTAAAGTCTCTATACTCCAGTTAATGATTACTAAATTAGTTAACGATTATTTAAATAGTCCATTAATCATCCATTAAGCCGATTCATTGTTTCAGTCCTACTTTAGTCAGATGAGACCAAAACAGAAATTCTAGGCCTACATGTAAAATATTTGAAGGAAAACTAATAATGTACATTCCCCTGAACACTTGAGCGCCATAATGGAAAATGATGTTGGCAGAATCTAACTGTAGATTTACTTTTATTCAGCAGGTACTAAAAAGCAGGTCAGATGGAAATGATAGAGAGATAGATGTGCTAAAGGTAATTCTGAACAACAACAACATAAAAAAACAGTTATAGGCTGTAAAATACTTGAGTGAAGAAGTTTAAATTCAGGTTTTAACTCACTGCTACGTTACCTGCAACATTACAAGAACATTTCCAACCAAAAACATCCAAATAAAAGCACTTTTTTCTGTTGATAAATAGCACTTGTTTGTTTACTTACTATACATAGCCTCGTTGTTTATATTGTAGTTTATGCCTCTATTGGAATATCTATACTCTTTAGAGTTAAGAACAAAGGTTTTAAACAAGGACTTCACAATATCATTTAAATATTCTTCAGCTCAAAGCGGGGAGAAGTAAAGCCTCCAAACCATGTTTAAAAAGATGAATAACATGAAGACATGGATTAACGGGTGTCAATTTGAGTAATTGTTAATTTAAAAAGTAAATTAAATTTTTTTCATTTAATACCATCAGGTTTTAGCCAGTTTGAATTATTTCTCTTTAAACACTAATGCATGTTTATATTTAAAGGGTAGATCTTAAACGTGATTCATTTTTAAAATTATGTAAAGCTACCTTTTGATTAATTAAATTAAAAATATTTAAGTATTGACACAATATCCAGTCAGGTATATTCTGTGTTTGTAAACCAGAATTTGTAGCTGTGAATAAAATTGTTTTACTATTCATCTACAAATTCATCTTTTTGAATCCATATAACATAAATATATATATATATATATATATATATATATATATATATATATATATATATATATATATATATATATATATATATATATATATATATATATATATATATAAACTAATCACAAAACATACACATTTTTTATGCAATTTGCACAGAGTACATATCTAAATGCGAAACTTAGGTTGCTTAGGTTCTCTATCATGTAGCGACTTTCACCTCACAAGAAAAACCTTTGACCAATGTCTCTTCCTCTCAGCTGGTTGGTTAATCACAAATTTAACAATCCAATCCCAGAACAGATGGGCAGTTTGCCGTTGGGCTGGCACACTGCCGAGCTGCAGGTCCTGCATTGCAAGCATTTCTGTAAGGCATAACTTTAAAAAAAACAAAAAACCATTCGAAGGAGCAGAACAGGGCGGTGACACGACATTAGTCAGCTGAAAGGAAGAATCATGGGTCTAAATTCAGATTTGCATGTGGAAACCCACATGCAAGTTAGATGATTTGCAGTTTTACAAGTGGACTATTACTTTCTATTTGCAAACAGATCTCAATAAAATGTGACTTGTGTAAAAATAAAAATAAAAGTCACAGTAAGAGAAATGTATTAATTAGTTCTCAAGGGAAAAACAGATATTCCCAGCTACACATTCTGACTTATAAGCATGAAATTTATATCACTGACAGATTTGACCTGGTTTCATCATGTGCAAAAGCAGCAGGAACACAAATCAACCATATGTAATTCAAAGCTTTGATGGTTGTCCAGCTATTGCATAAAACCGAAAATCACAAAACACACGGAAGTTTATTATTGCAGGATCAGATCATTTGAAGTGCTTCTAAGGGCATGAATAGTTTAACCTGATACCTTTGTGAAATGAAACAAAGAATGAGTTGCTGAGAAAAATTCAGTACCAGGAAACAGTACGTTAATTTGTCAAACAAAGATCAAATAAGAAAGATAAGTAACAGAGAGAAAAAAGACAAGATTTTTATCTTTCGATTTATCCCTGCAAAGAGATTTATTTGCACCGGCATTAAATAACTTTAAAGATACTTTTATCCGTTTAATAGTTTTACAATGTTATCTATATTTTCTTTGTCTTCCAGGATTTTTAGAAGAGGAAACATTGCAGCTGTCTTCTTAATCGGAGCTTTTCTTTTGCTCATTTACTTGTTGCAGAACAATGCTGACATTCTTGACTCTTATGCCCCCTACCCTTCAACTGATACAGCTGAAGATTACAGTAAGTTAAAGTCAGCCATAAAATACCGTAATCCAGTATTTCCAGAGCAGAAATGTAAAGCAAACATGTCGGTTACCAACATGAAGGATTTCAGCTCACTTCCTGATGCTATAAAAGAGTTTCTCTACTACCGCCATTGTCGGAAATTCCCCATGCTGCTGGACTTGCCAGACAAATGTGGGGGGGTTAATAAGTCCAAAGAAGTCTTCCTTCTGCTTGTCATTAAAAGCTCCCCTTTGAATTACGACCGCCGTGAGGTTCTGCGTAAAACCTGGGCTAAAGAGAGGTTACACAATGGTGTGTGGATTCGACGGGTATTCATCTTAGGAACGACGGGTTCTGGTGAGGAGAAGGAAAAAGGAAACAATCTGCTAAAGGTGGAGCAAGAAGACTTTAAAGACATCCTCCAGTGGGACTTTAACGACACATTTCACAACCTCACCCTGAAGCAGACGCTCTTCCTTCAGTGGATGGAAAGAAACTGTCCCAATGTTCGCTTTCTGCTTAATGGCGATGATGATGTGTTTGCCCACACTGAAAACATGGTGAAGTATCTACAGAGCCTCCCAGACAACGATGGAAGCAAGCACCTCTTCACCGGCTACTTGTTCATAAACGAAAAAGTGGTCAGGTGGAAAGGAAGCAAATATTTCATTCCAGTCCAGATACAGAAATCAAACGCATACCAACCTTACTGTGGAGGAGGGGGTTACCTTCTGTCCGGATACACAGCACTGGTGATTAACCGGATGTCTCAGTCGATACCCATTCATCCCATCGATGACGCTTACATGGGGATGTGTCTGTCCAAAGCAGGACTTTCCCCTTCTTCTCACATTGGTGTGAAAACATTGGGACTAAACATGCCTTCTAAAGGAGAAGATCATCTTAAACCGTGTTATTTAAGAGATCTTTTATTGGTGCACAGATTCTTACCAATTGATATGTATCTTATGTGGAAACAAGTGCATGATCCCCATTTGAAATGTGGCCCCTCACAGAAACTGAGATGATAATGCCCAGTTAGAGGGGACATATAGATTATAGCCTAAAGTTAGGCTGATGACCTGGGCCGTACGCCGTACGCCGTACAGTTTCCCTCACAACAAGAAAGTCTGCGTTCAAATCTCTTCTAAGACTTTTTCAGCATGTATTTGTCATGCTCTACCCATCCCTGTGTTGGTTTTCTCTGCATACACCAGTTTCTATCTGATGTTCAGGTAAAGAAGGGGTTAACTGGTCTTTGTAATTGCATTCAGGCGTGACCGTTTTTTATTTTTATTTTTATTTTTTTACAGTTGTTGTCCTGTGTCCCTGTCTGATCTTTAATTAACTTGTAACCTGTTTAGTCTAACCTGTGCAGCTCACTGGCTGTAGGGAATAATAACAACTTCCTTGTTCCTAGCAATGATTAAAAGGTATGGAATGAATGTACAGATAATCCAGTCGCCTGTAGCTGTAACTTACTTTTTTGGGTTCAATATGCAAATGCATCACCAGCTGGATGCTCCAAGGTGTGTTTAAGCTCAAGTCCTACATAGGATACTGCAAAATGTCTTCTACAAGATTCCTGCAACACTTTTAACAAAAACAACTATTTAAATTTCTTGACTCTTTAAGGAGAAAAGGTCTAGTTTAGAAACATTTTGCAATCCGGTCTCCTTATATGTGTTGAACTTTGCCATCACACTCCTTGGTTCAGATGGCTCTTTTTGTAAGAGGATATAATCTTTGGAACTGAAGACCATCAATGCAAAAGTTTTGTCATTTTTAAAAGACTCAAGAATAAAGAAAAGCTCTATTAGTCCTATACAGGGTGATTCAAGCCAAATGCATGAAGGAATGAACTAATGCTGCCTTCATGTGGTATTGTAAATATGGTAAATACCAGAAACCAGTATGAAATTGGACATGAACACACACTCATGCTGTAATTTACACTGGAAAGCTTGAACATTTTTATGATGCCGGAGTTTTCAAGATGAGGTAAACTTTGACCAGAAAACAGAGAAACTATTCTGCATGATGAGTACTGCATTGTTAAACATTCACGTTTGTTGTGTTTGTAGCCTACACAATGCTGTTGCATACTTTTCTTTTTACAATATCGTCATTTTAAGTTGAGTGGTTTTTAAAAATAACTGTCTACATTTGATGCCAGCTAGCAGTCCATCGAGGAGAGCAGCCAGTAGGGTACCAGGCACTGTTCAGACTTAGACAATTTTCTCATTTGATCTGTACTGTATACTGAGCGTGTGATTTACTGGATCTTGGAGATAAGCCTAACTATCTCGCCCAAGTAGTATGTTAGGATAATCTGTGGATCCTCCATGTTCCTCTTCTCTATCACAGCAAAATCACTTGAACACATTGCTTTAGTAATTTCCACTTAACGAGGCCACACGAAGGGGGCATAAGTTACTCCAACTTGTGTTTAAAGTGAATTTTAGAATTGTTATTCTTTTTTTTGTGTGAAAATGATGGTGCCCTTTATACATGGAAATTAATGTGTGCTAAATGTTATATTACATGCATACTCCCATTAGGTTTTTATGCTCTAAAGTAGGGGTCACCGACGTGGAACCAGGACCACATGAGGTACCCTAGGAGCCTCCTGAAAATAGAACAACTCGCCATTGCTCTTCTTTTTTAATCATTTATAGAGCATTTCAAAATGACAATGTCTAAAATAAAATTAGAAATTAAAAGAGAAAATAAAATGTGTTTATATTAAGTTTAGGTGAACACTGACCCTTGCAGTTTTTGGGTCTGTATTGGTAGCCCTTCCTATGAATCTGTACCCTTAAATTGGCCCTCAGCCTTAAAAGAGTTGGTGACCCCGGCTGTAAAAGCAATAATTATTCCCACCAAAGCGGTGCCAAGAAATCCTGAGAGTCAGGGCTAAGAGTTGGGGACCGTTGGCAACACGGTGACTCTGTCGCTAGATTTAGACTTTTCAAACTCCTCTAGAGATTTTTTTTTTTAAATTTTGTCCAAAAAAAGCAAATAGCAACAGATCTAGAGAATTTTTTGTGTTGTTGGAGTCTTTTAGTACATCATTAAAGCACTGATTCAGTAGGCACTGAGGGCTTTTGCCAGCTCCTCCAAAGCACTGAAACACAATGAGGTTCTGCAGGAAGTTGTGCCTGCTGTTATCCTATTAAACATAAGCTACACCAGTGGTTCCCAAAGTGTGGGGCGCACCCCTATGGGGGGCGCAATGCCATTGCAGGGGGGGCGCGGGAAGCGATATAGATGAATGAAGAAAATTTTTTTTTTTATTGTAATCCAAAGGGGGGCCCAGAAGAAAATCTTTGGGAACTACTGAGCTACACATTGACAAAGATGGAATATAAGAGGATATAAATATAACTTACATTTGTTTTCTTTGAAACTGTTAAACTAAGATACCTTTGTCAGTGCATTTAATTCATAGACATCCTCATCCACTTTGTGTGCTGTTGCTAAATGTCTTTAGGTTGAATTTGATTACATAAGATTGATTTCTGTATTTTTGGCTCTGGTAAAATATAATTGAATACTTAGAAATTATTTTATAGAGTTGGTTTTTAGTTTTAGTGTTTTTAAACACTTTCTGACTTTGCATTGTTGATTTTCATATCTCCTAGGCTGGATTGAAACATTACCAAATATGTAAATTAGGTGAACAGATTATTTACAGTAGTGACTTCTAGCAACTTTTAGAACAACAAATATCGTGACTCTCCTTGCTGAAAAGTAGGGAACATTAGAGATAAAAAGAGCAGTGGCAGTTTATGAAGTCAGGATGAGAGAAAGTAGGATCTAACTTAGCCTAGTTTAGCCTTATTAAAGCATGGAGAGTGATTGGAGGAACTCTGATGAACATATGCAGAATACAGGCCTGTCTCTGAGTTAGTTTTTGTTTCCTCAACTGAGGCTCTAAACATGAAAGCGTGTACTAGCATGTACTGTTTGAACTAAAAGAAAAGCGCAACTGCGGTAGCAGCTTCCAACTACTTAGGGCAGCACTAAGACTGTTTTTAGATTAATATTGTAAAAAAAATCTCAATCATAATACCCCATAGACCCAGTTTTAACTGTTTGTCTAAAGAAATGTTGACTTTTGGAGTTATACTTTATGAGGTGTTTTATTTGTTTAACAGCAAGTAGCAACATGATTTAAAGTGCTGTTCAAAGCTCATACCATCTGCCATTGACCAACTATTGGCACAAAAGTTAGGAGATCTAATTTAGGTTTTCTATTCAAGAGGTTTATTGATCAACCTGAAATTTTTTTTTGCCATAAACTCAATGGATAAGTGATGTTTAACTGCACTTCTTAAGCTATCAAATGAAAGCAAGTATAATTCAGGGATGTTTGGACTTAATCTGAACCATTTTACAGCAAGATAGTCCTGCCGACAGATCGATGCTTTCTTTGGAAGCGAATGGGGAAACTGGGAAAACCGGACAGTTTGGTTTATCAGATTATTCCAATCACAATGACTCACATATGACAAAAGAGCCTTTATACAGGAGCATAGGTGGGAACATGACATTGGTCAACTGAATGTTGACTTTGCAGCCAGGAATGCTACAGCAACCTGTTCTTTACATTAAGTCACAACCAGTGTTTTAATTTTCTTTTTTTCTTTTTCTTTTGAAGCTCTATTTATCAACTATAATTTATTGTAATGGGAAAAAAAAACAAAAAAACTTGCAACTTAACTTTGATAGACTTGTAAGATTTATGGTGAATGGATACATGTTCAATTCTAAATATTTTATCACACCAAGAAAAAATGTGGTTTATTTTTTAAAACTTTTCTAATCTGGAAAATCCTTTATAACTAAATTTATAAACAATGATGTGGATAAAAAATGTTATAAGTTTACAATAAAAAAAACAGCAGTTATGATCTGAAAATTAAAAAGAGATATTAATGTCATAAATCTTTTAATGAGACTCAAGAAATTATGGCAAAAATATTTTAACATTTTAATTGTACTCTCTGCTGCTACTCTGCTGATTCAAAGCTGTAAAATTTATCCTCCATCTCAAGTGGGCAAATTTGGCTCTTTGAAAATTTTTCATTATATGAATAGTATATATTGGAAACATTTTAAACCAAAAAGTGCATCATAATTACAACAAATCCCATTTGTTTGATGCCGTCGTGTTAAAATGATAGATCTTCTTTGTTTAAATAGCATAATAAAGCTAAATGACACCATATTTACTTAATTTTATCATATTTTGAGTATTTTACTGCCTGGTTTCAAGTAATTCTCCTTTTGCCCCAACCTCTAGTATGAGGCATTTAGTTTTCCATTTTAGCCGCCATCACAAAAAGAAACCTTCCAGCTTTCCCAAGTGCATAGTATCACTGGCTTAAGTCAACATTTCACTGTCAACACCCATTTTAAGCAGAGCATGACTGTTGTGAGATTGTCCCCTTTGTGTGGGTTGTTTAAAAAACACATTTCTTTGGCATACATGAGATCTTGTTTAAACAGGCTATACTGGATAGTTCTAACAGCAAAGCTGTAGCTGTTTGACCAAGAAGTTCTTGGTCAAAAACAGTTCTTTGATGATTTGATGATTCTAAAGAAATAAATGCTAGCGAAAGCAATCTGAGGTATTATTAATTTTTTGCATGTGTTCATGATTTCATTTATATAATAGTCACTGTACAATTAAATTCCTGGTATAGAGACAAACTGTGGTACACAAAATACTTTTTGGGTTTTTGGTGATTTAGCGGAAGTCTTTCTCTTCCTTTTTGCCGTGTTTAAACATCTATGAAATGCTTTTAGAAGGAAGAGTGTTAATGATGTGTCCAGTTGATAAGTATAAACGTGGGTGTATTATTACTCCAATATTACCAAAGAAGGTCCAATTAAATTCTCTTAAAGTTAAATCTATGACTATATTCCTCATTTTTCATCCCCACATCTGAAAAGTTTTTTAACTTGATAGGTTTAATGTTGATAAAATATACAATAGGGTTGGGTATAAGCAGTATAATGAGCTGTTGGCTTAATATTATGTAACCTCTAACCATCCTGTTCTTTTTTTCTTTCTTTGTGTTTTAGTGTGTATGTTATGGATGTCCTGTTTGAGCAAGTCACTAGGGACTGCAGTTGTTACATCATTTTTGTTGTCTGATGCCTGGTTTCCATCTAGGGAGATAAAAAAAATAGATACACTACATTAGAAGACACAGTGAAGAATCTTAAAGCTCCAGTGTGTTATTTCAACCTGGAGAGACAAAAGGATGCAGTTAGAAAGATTTTTATTGTCATGAATGAAATAAGTTCAGCAGAAAACTGGTCGTGTATTAGACCAGAGGAAGAATGAGACTGAAAATAGGATGACAATGAGGGAGGAGATGGGGTAAAATTTCAGATGGTATACAGGAGAAATGCTGGATAAAGGAGCTTATGAGGATGATGTTG